ACCCCAGATGCTATATCTTTTGATAGCTAGACACCATCAGCTTTCTTCTCCACATTTGCTTATGCACCCACTTTGTCTTCAGCGATTATGTCAGGAAGGTGAGCATCATGGAATGCCAGTTTAATAGAACAAAGTGTTCTTTCATTGGGGGGGAGTACTTGAATTGAAGTCTAATATCCATCTGCTATCTTAGTACTAAATCTATATGCACATAGATATATTTCCCCATCATCATCTATAAATATATTTACATATATACATGCCTGTATTAAGACCTCTATAAATGCCCTTTGCTCTTAGTTCTCTTTTCTTTCTAACAGTTTTATTAGCACTTTATCTATGTGTCATACAATTCAATAACTCAATCATATCAACATGAGTTGTCCAATTATCACCACAATCAATTTAGAACTTCTTCTTCTTTGTACTCACTGTTAGTCTCAAAATTATTTTTTTCTGATTGTGGCAAAAGCTTACACATCAACACATTCTCCAATTCCCCAACCTCTACATGTATAATTCAGTGCCATTGATGATGCTCTTTATGTTCACAACCATTTTCTCTTTTTCAATACTTTGATTGGGGGCTCTTGCATCTCTTATCACAATCCATACATTCACCCAGTGTCTCAAGCATCTTTGCACATGTGCTGCCATCATCCTTTTCAAAGCATTCTCTTCCCACTTGAGCCCCTGATGTCAGCTTCCATTTCTTCCCTCTCCCTCCCTCCCTTCCCCCGCCCCCCCCCACGAGCCCTTGATAAGTTGTAGATTATTATTTCCACATTTTACATCATCCTCTGTCGCCCCTCACCCACTTTTCCGCTATTTGTCCCCCTGGGAGGGGATTATAGGCTGATCCTTGTGATCGATTCCCCTTTTCTCCCTCCACCCTCCCCTAATTCTCCTGGTATTTCTACTTTCATTGTTGACCCTGAGGGGCTTATCTATCCTGGATTCCTTGTGTTGGGGGCTCTTATCGTAGCAGTGGTGCACAACCATTCTTGATCTCCTTTTCCAAGTTATTCCTCCACCATTAACATAAACTCAATGCCCCCAAAGCGACAACTCTTTCTCCTTCACCCGTAGGAACCAGTGGTCAAGTTTGGTTTCTTTTCGTAGTTCCCTTGATAAAATAGTCACATAGCATACACTTCCATGGCTAAATCGCTTTTGAAACAGTTGTACATACATCATCACAATCAGTTCTAGTGCTCCTTTACCACTCCTGGGTTCATTGTTTGATCCCCATATCCCCTCACCCCCACAATCCCCTTCCACATCCCTGACAAACCCTTGCCTCAGTTATTGTCTCAATGCATCCACTCCTTCTGTGCTTCACAAACTGGGAAAGCCAACAGAAACAATAAGAAACAAAAGCAAAACAAAATGGCAAGAAGAAACTAATAACAATACACAGATAAAAATACAGATAAAGCTTAATAAAGAAAAGGTCTCCATCAGTATTTAAAAGGCTAGAGAAGAAATTTATTTCCTGGAACAGGTGAGAAATACTTCGGCCTAGAGCAAATTCAGGTTGGGTCAAGAGGGAGGTCAACTGATCAAGTATCATATTATACTATGGTTCCATCCACCATACTCAAGTTCACAGTCATCGCCATCTGATAGTAAAGCTGTTCGAGTCCCTTGCCCGTGGCTACCGGGGATCTGACAGAGGCTTCATCTGACCTGGGAGTTTGCAGATGGGTTTCGCTGTGGCCAATTTTCCTCAAGCAGCATACTAAGAGGGAGGAGAGTGGGTCTGCAGAAGGAAGGACCTGGGGAGGTGGTCTGGGGACTTACAACCTGGCGAGAAGAGACCTCAGGGAAAATGGGGGTCAGGAAGAGGTGTGTGAGGAGATGTGGTGCAGAAAGCCGGGGGTGGCCTCTCATGCGCCCTTGCCCTTGTTCACTTGACAGGAAGTAGCCCTTCTGAGTTCTTCCATGAGGAAAGCCACCGTGGTCTGTCTGGAGGAAGTAGAGTTCTTGGTTGTGGACAAGGAGGATTTCTTTGCTAATAAGCTGGATGTGGAACTTGAAAAGGATGCCCAGTATCGGTTTCAATTTTTTCGGTAACTATCATCAGTCAGCACATCCCCTCTCCCCCGTCCCCCCTTGTTGTTTATTAAGTGTTTGTTGGACTTGGCCCTGGCCTGGTGGGACACAAACTAGGTGCTGTTCTCTTGCTTGGAATTTTCTTCCATCCCCATCCCATCTCCGTCTAACCAACTCATGTGATCCCTCTGGGGCTCAGCCCAAATAGCCTGTCCTTGTGAGCTCCACAGAAGAGCTACCTTTTATTGAACAGTCACTGGGTCAGGCAGGGCGCTAAGCACTTGGTAAGATATGTCTCATCTAACATCGCCTTCAACCGCGGGAGGGGTTCTTACTTGTTTTCCCCAGTGTATAGTTGTCACTGGCTCAGGCCGGTGACAACAGGACTTGTGCCCGAAATGCTTCAGAAGCCCCTGAGCCCTCAGCATCCCACCCCACCTTGCCAACCAAACTCACTCCAGCACAGAGAGGTGCCAATCATATGCTTCCAGAGCATCCTGTGTTTTCTTTAGAGCTCGATCCAAGCTGTATGTATATACCTTTTGATAAACATATGGAATTAGAAGATAATGGAACTTTCCCATGAATTTTTGAAGCCCCCTTGTAGATAATCATGTTCTTCAGCAAACTGTAGTTCTTGATTATGCAGTCATTTCCGTACTCCCAGGACCCATCAGCTAATCAGCAATAGAGTGACAGCCTGTCTTCCTCACCACTGTAGTCCCCCTGTCACCACAGTGCCAGAACCATGGACGTGCTCAACAAATAAATAGTGGAGAAATGAATGACAGGACATAGATAATCGCAACCACTGTGGATGAGAGCAGTAAGCACTTTAATTATGGGTGCCGCATATAATGAACCAAAGAGCAGAATTCAGGTGGAGCGAATGTGTGTGTGTGTGTGTGCACGCGCACAGGCTTAGGGTGCTTTCTTTACATGAAAGGCCATGTAAGGAAGGGTAGAGAAATGAAATCTCGTTGAATTATTCTGAGTTACTCTGAAAGAGAATGAAAGGCAAGTGAAGTATCTGTGCTGGCATTGAGAACCGAGCTGTGAGGGGAGAGCTGGGTGGCAGGCAGAGGTCTCTGGTCCCTGTGGGCTAGCTCGGAGATAGAAGGTGCCTTCAAGGAGACTGGGGGGGAGGGGGGATAGGGAGGAGAGTTCATCCAACGGGAGGAGTCGTTCATGTGTTTCATTCAGTGGGAAAAATAGGCTTAGGTCCAGTCCCCAGGCTTACGGACGATGTGACCTGAGCTGGCACTTCATTTTTCCAAGCCTCAGTCGCCTGCTCTGAAAGTGGGGGTAATAATACCTGTCTTCCAAGGCCACAGTCGTCATGAGTGAGATGATTGGGGGAGGGTGTGGCCCACAGGACCTTGAACAGGGTCATGCTGGTGCCACTCACCGCTGAGAAATGGCCTTTCTACCCTAGATGCACAGTACTGAATCTACAGTTTAATAAGATTCCCAAAGTGATGCTTGTGTGCAAGAGTCCTGTTACATGTACACTTATTTGAATTCAGTGGAAAAGGGGAGTTCTCAGTGAGAACCAGAATGAACTGGTTTGAAGCTTCACACCCAGTGGGCACACCTCTTCTGGGTCGTCCTTCCTGTGACTCCAGATTCATCTCCTCTGAACACGGTGGTCCCCCTTGGTCCCTGAATTGAACTCAGTGCCCCTGGGATGTCCTGACTCCCCCTGAATCCTGAAAGGGAAGGCAAACCCATCACTGGAGGTGTACGAGGCCAGAGGAAGGGGCATGGCTGGCATGCAGTGGGCCTTGAGCTGACAGGGGCCAACAGGCAAAAGGAGGAGTGTAGGTCCCCCAGTCGAGGGGTGTAGAGATGAGGATGTGAAGCCAATAGGCCAGGGGAGGCGGGCTCTGGAATGAACTCCCCAAACCAAAGGCAGGGCCAGGGCTGTGAGTTGGAGGATGGAACACGGCAGAAGTGGAACAGAAGAGGGAACTGCCGGACCCTCCCTTGGAGTGAGAGTAGTTAGTGAGCTAGCAGGTCCAGGGCAGGCTGGGATGGGGCAGGGGAGAGAAGAGCACAGAGGCTGGATCTTGCCGAATGTGCCTGAGGAGCAGCAAAGGGAGGGGAGACCCTGGAGGGAACGGGTAGACAGAGGGAGAAATGCGGGATAGGAGAGTCAGGATGGTCTAGGCCATGGGGGAGAGTGTGTGAAATCTTTCAGCCCTGACATTTTCAAGAACAAAAGAGGCAGAGGAGCCAAGTGCTGTAGGGTGATGAATTGCACCAAGCTTTGCCCCTGCAGGAAGATGGACCTGTTTCAGTCCTGGCCTAAAGAGAAGCTCTGGCAGCTGGTTGGCTTCGGGAAGGTGGAGAAGTTCTCCTTTGGTCAGCTGATCTCAAAAGACTTTATAGAGTCTGCCACCATTGTGTTCGTCTGCAAGGTGAGAGGTCTGGCTGGGAGGGAGCGAAACTGGGAGGCCAAGCCTGCGATGGTGCCCTGTGGCCAGACAAGCCCTGTCAAGCCCCGTTCTGCAGTTTGAGCCATTCACTCCTCTCACGGGGCTTCTGAGTCCTAGCTATCATCAAAGTGAATAAGCACCAACAGACAATTCGTTTTCATTTAAAACTTTTCAGGACCACAAGACCAAATATGCACTGGGAAGAAATTCCTGGCCCAGATGCATTTTACCAGCGGCTTTCTTTTCACCCAGAGTTACCAATCTTATCTTTCCCTTTTGAATATCCCAACTTAGTAAACTTGGATTTTGAAAGCCATATCTGAGTGGGGTGGAGGGTTTGAGATCACCTCTTGATCAGTTATCAGTAAAAGGTGATCTGGTACCACCACTTGACCAGTTAAAGGAGAGGGTAGGATTCACCCAATCATGCCGAACATTACCAAAGGTGTTATATTATACTCCCTTGATCATCTTTTTCTAAGTCTCAGTGAACTGACTGACTTTTGAGCCCATTGTTTTTTCTGGAATCATACCATTGAATCACAATAAAAAATCACACCCTTGAATCACCAGGTCAGTGGTTTGAACCCACCGATTGCTCTTGGGGAGAAAGATGAGGCTGTCTGCTCTCATAAGATTTAAAATCTCAGAAACTCAAAGAGGTAGTTCCACTCTGACCTATAGGATAGTGATAAATTATTTTGATGGCCGTGGATTTTGAGTTTTGGATATGCATATAGGATAATTTCTTAGAGTAAACCTTGTTTTAATGTTTTTGATTTAGCTTATGTAACACTATGTAAAACACAAATGACATGTTTTGATCTGCTTCCTTTAGAGTGTTACTGTAAACACAAGCTATGATATTAGAAAGAAGGCAGAGGAGTACCTCCCCCAGGGCTCATGCATGTTTATTTACTTACACAACATGCCAATTTAAATTGTGCATTTGGCTCTTGACTCATTGATGCCAGATTACTTGGGGGTGGGGGGAGTATAACCTTTAAGTTGTGAAAGTGATGTGAGCCCATTATGAAGCTCTCTCCATCCGTATCTCCTAGCAATTCATTAAAAATGCAGATTTGCAGGCCCATCATGCCCTGTCAAATCCAAAACTCTGAGTGGTGGTGGAGGTGGTGGGGAGGGCTCAGTAGCTGCTGTGACAAACCCTGGACTTGTATGCGCACTAAATAATGGGAGAACCCCTAATCATAAAGAGAAGAGTCTTTGGCTTCAAACTAGCAGGTTTACAAACCTCTGAAGGTGCTTCTTCAAAAGGTAGATTCTTGATTCATCCCGGAGATCCTGATGGATTGTTAACTCTGAAATCTGCGTTTGAAGAAGCATCGAGAATCAGAATGCAGAAGTACTCCTCAGACTTCCTGGGGGGAGACGACAACAACCAACTCCCCCAACAAACAAACCAACCCAACAACCAAAACACAGATGCCACAAAGCAGCAGCTAGTTGTGAGCTTCAGCCAGCCTGTAGGTAGATGTGGTTTATCCCTGATTGAAGATTTTACATACAACTTCCAATTTCTGGCTTGTTTTGAAATTTCAGGAGGTCGGGCAACACCAGGTTGCATCCTGGTGCAGCCCCTCTGGCTGGAGCTCAAGTGCACTTGCTGCAGTTCCTCTGCTCTCCCCCTGGTTTTTATTGTCCCCCTGGTCGAACCATTGGAAGATCCCCCTCTGGTAGTGAGGCCCATGGTCCTGACGCCTGCAGCTTACACATATGAACACTAGAGGGCGATGAGGCGTCCTTTGCAGAAACAGCATTGTGGACTCCTAGCGATTCTATAGGACACAAGAGAACTGCCCCAAAGGGTTTTCAAGGCTGTAAAATTTTTTAATCATTTTATTAGGGGCTCATACAACTCTTATCACAATCCATACATACATCAATTGTGTAAAGCACATTTGTACATTCATTGC